TAAAAAAAAGTAAGGGTTGTGAGAGAGTTTAAGGTCTAGGATTTAGGGTTTATGTTCGTTAGGCTTAGAGTTTATTCCATTTTATGTAAGAAACAATAAGTTCGTATACAATAATATAAATATATATTTTGAACGATTTAAGTTCTAGCTATTATGCAATTAAGACAAGTAAATTAGTTTATTCAAAAGAGTACATGTTGTGAGAGAGTTTAGGGTTAGGGTAAGGGTTTAAGGTTTATGGTTGTGAGGGTTAGAGTTTAGAGTTTAGGGTTTACGGTTTAGGGTTGTTAAGAGTTGTGGGGTTTAGGGTTAGAGTTTGAGGTGTAGGATTTTTTTTTTATTTTTTTTAAGGGAAAGGTGTAGGGTTAAGGTTGTTAAGAGGGTTTAGGCACTTTGTCAACTTCATTAATTAAAACATGACATCAATGACTCGCTAGTTTATTTGTAAAGACGATAGATAACCTTGTAAGAATTATTCATTTGTTGTAACTAATAAGAAATATAATTGCATAGCTTATTATGTTATTGAGTATATGTCATTGTGATGATGTTGAATTTTTCTCTCTATAGCTAGTTATAAATTATACGTAATTGAACGGATGAACTAATTTAGCTTTTGAATAAGTGAATTAACGTATTTGTTATGTTTAATTGTAAAGTACATAAATGTTTATTTATTTATTTATTTGTTTGTAAAATTTTATACTTGTAAACTATTTTTTTTATGTTGACAACCTTTTATATTTCCTATATTGGTTGAAAAATAAATTTTTTTTATAATAATTTTAGATATTAAATCATCATCGAATACGTAAAAAAACAAACAACAACAATCAAAATAATAAAAAGAATAATGACCATTTTTTATAAAAAAAATTTTAAGTGATTGATTGATGTTGTTTATTCATTTCATTTCATTCTTTATATGTGCACCCGAAAAAAAATTATATTTTTTCATTATTCAATTTTAGATATTTTGAAAAAAAAATCGTTTACCTTAATTATGGTTTATCTTTGTTCAAAAAAAAATATTATGGTTTATCAATTGTCATTTTTTTTACAGTATGGTTTATCAATTGTATTTATAAATAAAAGGTATGGAGTTAAAAAAAATAACTGAGTTTAAGATATTATTTTTTCATTATATTATATTATTTTCATTATTTAATTTAGATATTTTGTAAAGAAAAAAAATCCATTACCTTAAAAGTTACAGCTAGGTACAAATGGTTTTTATTTTTTTTATTTTTTTTTATTTTTTACATTTAAGAATATTTGAAAAAATAAAAACTCTTAGTATTCTCCTCCATTGGTAACCAACAAAGGTCAATTCCAAGAAAATTCATAAATATTGAAATTATTTTAAATTTACCTTTCATTTGCTATAATTTCATATCATATCATATCATATTATACAGTATAAAAAAAAATTATTCTTCTCTTCAAAATTGTTAGACTGAGATGGATAATTATATGTCTGAATCTTTTTCACCAAAAGGATTAAAGGGTATGTATGAAACTATTGTAGCTAGTCACACCCGACTAACTATCGAAGTGAAAGTGCTTATTAAACGTCTCATTGAAATAGAGGAAACTAATGCATTGAAGAATGCTTTGTCAATGGACGAACCTCTTGGTAAATTATTGGAGATGTATGAACCAGCTTGCCTTACTCCAAAAACAAGGAAGCAATTTTTCTCCTGGACACCCTCGTCTAATAAAAAAAATCTAAGTGTAAGGTTAGTTGTTGCTTCCGGGGGAAAGGTGGGTATCGCTGAAGGGAAGGTTAACTTTGGAGAGAAGGTGGGTACTTCAAGGGAAAGGATAGTGAACACAATATTGTCCATGAGATCGTCAACATAGACTAAGAGTATTTAGATAATATAATGATGTCTTTGGTTATTATTTTTTAAATATCATCCTAAATTTTGGTGATAGTAGTTTAATTAATTCGTATGTAGTACTTGAAAGGATGTCGGCTAGGTACCTTATTATCTTTGGAATGTAATCAAATTGTTTCTAATATATGCTTATTATAAATTATATTATGGTTATTATTTTTTACAGGAATGTTATCACGTTTAAAAAATAACGAAGTGAATTTTATTTATTTTTTGGTCAAAAGGATCAACTAAATTATAGTAGCAAAGGTTGGAAATCAAGCAAAATTATGATATCTAATCGCTTGATCTCATTCCATATAATATGTGATATATTTATATGATATAATCTCAAAAATATCATGCCCATCTTAGCTAGAATAATACGGAGTAGTATCCAAAACATATTACTTTATGTAACTTAACGTTAATCTTGTATATTTATAGTACTTATCTTAAGTTAAATTTACCAAATATTAAGTCATAGATCTTGCTCGTATCAGGACTACAAAGTAGGCTATGATTTTTTACTTGATATTTCCTAATTTACGAGACTTATATGCTAAAAGTCTCTTTAATTATGTTAACGTATTATTTTTTTTGTAACAAACTAACTGGTAGAACATAACTGTATACATTTCCAAGCTTGTATTCTTATCTTAGTATTTGCGATTAGTTAGGTTTTAGCTTAGTCAATATTTATCCCACTGATCAAGGGATACAATTAGAAGGTACTCTGCCAGTTTAAGGCAAATTAATATCAATAAATCATTACTCATCACCAAACCAGTTTATTATAAATGGGGGATATGGGGGATTATACATGGCATTATGAAACATCCCAAAAGGTTGACTAAACTCCATTACATTTAAAAAAATCATCAAAACTTTGTATAATAGTGAAAATTCTTAGGGTTTATAGATAAAAATTATACTAGATAGAAATGCATACTGGGGGGTAACTTTGAAAACCATGAGGAGCATCAGAAACATTTGTTGAATTCTTTGAGATGCTCCCTAGTAAAATTCCTTTCTCTATCGATCCAAAATGTATCGTTCGGGTACATAATCACATTCCTCTTCATGAAATACACGTAGTGAGTAACTACATATAATCCCTTTAAATTCAAAATTCTTGCAATCACATCTTACTTCTGATGTTTCCTTATCCATAGTGACTTGAAAAATAGTGTGTTTTGTTCGATGATACCACTTCCTTATCACTATGATATCATATACACAATGTTTCTCATCATCAAAATTTTTAGCAGCATTGTTGTAAGTCATGTCTTTCAATCCTTGTTAAAATTCAAAGAATTTTTTTTAATGTGTATAGTTTTTGAAACACATGTTCAAATGTATGGTCAGTTGCACAATGTAGTGGTGAATCATCAAAGATAAATGTCTCTTTATCCTCTTCTGTTACTCGTTTAGCTAGTGCAAATCAAAATTTCTCAACAAATTGCTTAAGAGTAGTGTTGATGTTGGGAAATCTCTTGAAAAAGAAGTCCATTCCCTCACTCCTTTGAAAGCTAGACATGCCAGCCCAAAATGTATCCTTGAAGTATATTGGTACCCATCGATGTCTTGAATCATACATGTCCTTTCACCAATTATATTTCTCAAGCTTAAATATTTTGACCCAATCTTGCCACGTTTATTCAAATTTTATAATTAGTACATGCTCGATGCATATATGTCCAAATTGTAATTAGTACTTGTATTTTTTTTTTTTTTTGAGGAAATGGTTAGTACTTGTAGTTGTTTTCTTCTTCCTTTTTTAATATTTTTTTAATGAAGCATATATAAAATTTCTAAAATAAGTTAATATGATTAAGCTTTTATTCTACACTTTATACGTTCACATAATTTTAATAATGATGCCTTAATAGTCCAAAAAAAAAAGTAGAGAACTCACAAATTATTATGGAAGTATAATATATTAGAAATACTAACCCATTGCTTGACATTGATTTGTTAGGATGGCCTTAGGAGGTTTTCCGAACATGCATGTCGTCCATGAATTAAACAACCACACAAAGTTATAACTCGCTTTTCCGGCCAACAATGCACAACCAAAATTTATAAATTGACCATGATTATTGACTCCAATGAATGGAGCAAATGACATCGTATACCTATTTGAGACATAAGTAGTATTAAATGATACAACATCTCCAAAAATTTTGTATGCCGCTCTACTCCTACCATCTGCCTAAAAGACATTTTTCAACGAGCCACTCTCATCGGTGTCATACATGTAAAAAAAATTTGAATTGCTTGATATCTTTTCGGAGAAATGTCTCCTCATCGCAATAAAGTCTCCATGTTGTAAACTTAGTCTTCTTGTCTCACTTATCAAATTACGACAATCTCCTCATCAAAAGGAACAATGTTATGACCACCATACTTCACAACAAATGAATTACAATTCTTGGCTATAGGAACACCTGCCGTATCATTTTCCAAAATTGTTCTCATATTTTGCTCACTAATAAATTTATAGTTTCTCATAAATTTGGAATTATTTGGATTACATGGATGATTATGCTCCAAGAGAACTTTAGTTAACTTCCATAAACCATCGGAACAAAGTGATGCATTTACCTTGAATTGACATCCCGTAACGATACTACTAGAAAAATAATTTTGGGCAACAAAAAAAAAACGTCGCCCAAACTCTTTTTTTGTCGCCCAAACACATGTGCAACGAATTTCAAGTCGTCGTGAGCTTGTCGCACTAGGGTCGACGCCCATGCATTTTTGGGCGACAACTTGTTCTTTAATTACACAAACAGATATTGGGCGACGGGCTAGGTTGTTGCCCTTACTACATATTTGGGCCACGAAACATTATTACGTTGCCTATGCTGATGAACTTTGGGCAACGACTTCTATTTGTCGTCGCCTAAAGGGGATGTCACAGATTCATGCGTAATGGTAAGGACAACTATAATGTCGTCGCCGAAAAGCATTTTGGGCAACGAAATGTTTATTTGTTGCCCCATGTTTCAATGCAAAGACAATTTCATTATACAATGTGCAATGCATTTTGTTCTCACCTTTCTCAAACCTGTTTTTCTTACTCAAACATTTACATTTCATAGTTGTTCAAAGATATGACATAAAAAAATATATTCAATATAATAATAACAATCATACGCATTATTAAGTATTACATGCTTCTCCAACTTCAATCAAGAAAATCAAAATTACATCTACAATATTTATATTGTTCTACAAGGAAATTGATACATACAAAGTTAAAATTTTCAATCACTAGAAAATACCCACTATACATAATAAAGATAAAAAATTTATCCAAAATGTACTTCACGTTCTTCAATTTGTTACAAAATAAAATAATGACCTTTAGTTCCTGAAAGGAAATAAACCAATATTAGATCATAAGGTCATGCAAAAGAGAATTAGTATAATATCATCAAAGTGTAAAAGCATGTACAAATTAGTTGGTGAAATTCTCAAGTTATAAACAATACCTTGCCATCTTGCACTACTATTTCTTTATAAAAAAGAAGTTATTACTGGTGAAGAATGGGATGTAAAATAATGCTTTTATTTTGCTTGTGTGCATGGAACTTCTTCTTACATCCTTTTTAAATAAACTATTAATCATAGCATGATGCAAAAGAATATATATATATATATATATAAAAAAAAAAAAAGCAATACCCTTTAAATCTCATTCTTAAATGGTATTCTATCAACAATAGTATCATTTTAAAATCAACCTATAAGTGGTAGTCTACACAAATGTGAGCAGTAAATAAATCCACAGCATCCTACTTCTAAGATCAAGTTTCACAAGAGTATATGTTGATGTATTCTAGCATCCATTTAATTAGCAATGTAACAATTGACCATACAATTCGAGATTCCCAACGTAAAGAAAAGTTTTTCAAGAAACAAATACAAGACTTAAATTCGCCAAGAATTGATATACTACAATGAATTAAAGCTCAAATATTAATAAGAATAGGATTAACATAAACAATGAACAAAGAAGTTATACCTGATGAAGAATATGGCTAGTATTGAGCTCAAAAGTATTACTAGAGACAAAAAAATCGAAAGCAGTTCCATTGCTCCAAAATCTAACTCTCGCCTCTGTACAACAATATTCTATCCTTGTTTACCCAAAAATCAAGATACTTCGTAAGTATTCAGAATACATCCATCAATTGAAACAAAAAAAAAAAAGAAATGAAAACAGAATGAAAATCAATATTTAAAAACAAATAAAGAACAAGCCCTTCAATAGCTGAAAATTTTAAAATTATATCCAACAATATTCCTTTTAAATTGTACCACAAAATTAAAGAGTAGATTTTTTTCCCCTATATCCTATAGAAGTATATGAATTGAGTTTTATAATATTGGGTCAAAATATTTACATTTAAACATAAGAACTAACCTCATAGATTCACAAAACAAGATTGAGCAAATGATATTTTTCAGAACAATTGAATTACCTTTTTTTTTTTTTTTTTTTTTTTAATAACAACTGAATTACATTGGCATCTCCTAAAAATCAGATCTATGTAGAAGCAAAAATTACCAGATTGTCAACGATTGGGGACATAAAATCAAATAAATAAATAAAAGAGAAACAATTACCAAATAAATCTAATAAAATTTTTAAACAATCGTAGGATAAAAATACCAAATTACAGCCCGATAATTGATGGACGAAGTGCTTGTGGCTTGTGGCCGCGAGTGTTAGATCTTTCGTCGGGCGTCCATTCCTTGCTTGTTGCCATCAACAATATCTAGGATAAAGATGGTGTTGGGAGAGAGCGAAGAAGATGGAGGAAAAAGATAAAGATGATAAATTAAGGTTGAGAAAGTGCGGGTTCTAGAGGAAATGGGGGATGCAAAGTATACTGTATATCCAATTTTTATTGTTTGGTTTTTCAAAATTAGAATTTTTGGGCCACATTTTAGGCGTAAAAAATTTCCGCCATTTTTTCAGTATTTGGGGCGACGACTTCAGCTAGTTGTTGTCGTTTTTTCGTGATTAAGGGCAACAAATGCAGAACCTTTGTCGCATAATAAAATCTTTCGGGCGATAAATTATATTTTCGTTGCCTATTATTTCCTCTGGGCAACAAAAACAATAGTTTGTTCGCCCATTAGTTATTATGCGCAACAAATCTAACAACTCGTCGCCCAAATTATTGTAATGGGCAACGAGTTCGTATTGGTTGCCTAAAATATGAGATACGGGCAACAAAGTTATTTTTCGTTGCACATACTAAACAATGTCGTCGCCCAAAATTATATTTCTTATAGTGAGATTTAGTTGCTCTTTGAGAATTGTTTGACTTTGATTCAAACTTGTCCTCTTTTGAACAAACTAACCTTAAACTCTTACAATCACTATAGTGTTGTATATGGCGATTTCGTTCAATGACACAATCAAGAGTCATAATATCCGAATTTTCTATTTTCTCATAGCTTCTAATTCTTATTTGAAATCCAACATAATGCCTATATTTATGTCCAGGGGCGGAGCCAGGGGGCTCGTGGAGGCCCAGCCCCCCGTAGCCCAAGTGGTGATGTATATAATATGTATTCTGGCCCCCTAAAGTAACTAATAAATAGAAAATATTTACCCTATATATCATGTTGTTAGTGATAGCCTAGTTGGTTGTTGGAGCTTTGTATGGAGAGGGAGGTCTCAAGTTCGACTCCCCACTATGAACTTTTTTTTTGGGTTAACTTTATCGTTTCTTGGCCCCCTTAGGCTTTTATTCCTGGCTTCGCCCCTATTTATGCCAATGACAAATAATTTTATTGGTGGATTCGAACACCATCCCAACATATGGTGGAATGATATCTTTTTTTTTTTTCATCACACAAATCTTCATGCATCACACTGTCCAAATTATCACCATTTTGTTCTCATTCATTGTCATCAAAATTAGAATCTATGTCTTCTCCATTGTCAAAGTTTAGATCAAACTCATCATTGGAGTTGTTTCGGGGTTTTCTGATGTCCTGCGGGAGAGTTACAATTCCGAGACTGGAACCGGACGCCTGTACCTGCAAAATAACGGAGACTCCTGAGAGCTCCGCCTCCAACGATCAAGTTAGTACCTGATTACGGAGTAATTAATACGGAAATTAAAGTAATAAGACCTCTCTAGGTGAGAGTGTTTAATGTTGGTAATCTGCTTTGCTAGCGAGATTAGCCGGTTATTAGTGTTCCGTAATGTTTCTGTTCTTCAGGTGAGATTAATTGCTTGATCAATTGCCTCTCAATTGCTTGATTGCCTGATGTTTTCTTTCTTTTTCAATTAATGAGGATTAATTAAGTATTTATAGTCTTGAGAAGCGTGCCACTCTCTAGGTTTAGGGTAAACCTAGGGCTGACCGGGCCTCTAGACAGGATTGGGCCTTGTTGGCCGGTTTTCCCATTTGGCATGGGTGGACACGTGGCGTGCCTCGATTGGTCCGTAGAGGACGTATCTGTGATTGACACGTGGCAGGCTCCTATTGGCCTTCGTGAAGGACACGTGGCGGAACCTGGTTGGTCCACTTGTCAGACGGTGATTAGTGGATAAAAATCCCCTAATCATTTGCCCCTCACAGGTGGCATGTGACTGGTTACGTGTCGCCTGTGACAGGTGTCGCACGGTGACAGGCGACGGCCAGCTACAGGTGTCACCTTGCAAACGGCCGAGAGATTTTCCCGCCCAAATTTTGAATTTGGAAGCGACCCTTCGCCTTCTCACTTTGCCTATATAAGGAAGTGCTGACTTCGGTCATTTTCACATTTGAGAACTTTGCGAGAACATTCGGACCCCTGAACTTGCTCTGACATTTCGGACCTTTTCTGCCTACCGCCTGTTCTGACAAGCCGACTGCACCGGATTTCCAGAACTTCATCAACCGTCACTCGTTCAGGTAACTCAGTTCTCTTACTCTTAATTTTCTTTTTATTTTTTGAAATGGCACCACGGAAGCACACGACACGACCTAAGTTAGTGATCAGCCGGTCACCGGGGACGGCTGAATCTAGGACTAGGAGTGCCGCCTGCCCTTTTCTGGACCCATCTTTGCCCTTTATACAAAGTCCGACTGTATCTGTGTCTATGCAGAACGTGATGGCCAGAACAAAAAAGACTGCTATGATATCAAACTCAGACGGCTCCTCCCAAAGGGTGCTCATTAGTGAAACATCTGACCAGGCGCCAGATGTAAAATTGAAACGAGGCGGCTGCCAAGCCGACAGTTCCGAGAGAGGGGCCAAGGTGGTCCCTTCCCATCTTACCGTTGATATGTCTAATTTTCCTCCTGCTCCTTCTAAGGGAGAGGAGGCGGGCCCCTCTGGGAGAGGGGAGGAGTCGTCCTCTTCGGACTCGTCAGAGGACGAGTCCGAGTCCAGCTCTTCTGGCCACAGTTCTCCAGGCTCAGAAGAAAGACATAGCCGCCTACAAGAGGCGAGACTTTCTCATGCAGTTGAGAAGGGGGACAATTGGGCGGAGCAGTCCGCCTCTTACAGAGAGGAAAACGCCCCCTACTACTGCATGGTACCCCGGGGCCGGATCGCAACCATGCAAGACAAAGTGGAGAGCTTTATTGCTAACCACAGAATGGGCCCGGAATTTTTACTGTTCGTGCCGGATCCAGAAGACACTGTCGTCTGGCCGGCTGGTACCAGCTATGATGACGGCTGCTTTGGCTGCTATGTGGCGGCCATCAAAGTTGGACTGCGCTTCCCATTACATCCGGCTGTTCAGCGGATTTTAGATGGGTATGATTTGGGGTTATGGCTGTTAGCCCCCAACTCTTGGGTAAACGTACTCGGCTATGTGGCCGGGTGTGAAATGTACGGGGTGGAGCCAAGCTTTGAGGCTTTCGCCCACATGAACTATCTCAGCCGGACCCCTAAGTCGGGAGGTACCGGCTGGTATCAATTAACAAGCCATAGGGGTTACCTCATGACGAGAGGTAAGGCGAACAAATGGAAGGATTGGCGGAACACCTTCCTTATCATTGAGGGTTCAGACACGGAGCTGAACCAACGTTTTAACAAGTGGAATAGGGATCCGCCTCTTCTCGCAGGCGGTCGCAGCATGCCGCCTGTTCCCCCAAAGGCTAAAAGAGAGATCCTAGACAAAGGACTCTTCAAAGTAGAGACTAGGATGAACTCTACTTCAGGGGTACGAGAACAAGTACCCCTAAACTGCGTCCCGAGCTTCAAGTGGCTCTATGACGAGTACTTTTTGGCCGCCTGTGGCCTCAGCAGTCGGTGCTCTAGAGGTAGCCGGCCTGACAAATACTCTGTTTTTTTTTTTTTTTTTTTCACGCCTTGTTTACTTGGGATCTTTACTAACTTTGCTGTTTATTTTTTGCAGCTGACGCCATGAGTAAAATAACAGCATCCAAGACTGCGGCGGCCATGTTGCGGGCCTCTCTCATGCAACGGTCTTGTGCCGACTCCCCCAACAAGGGGGCACCCTTGGTAGGCTTCGAAAACTCTTCCTCTTTTAGGAGTTGTCTTATGCATATACTAACTCTTTTTGTTTTCAGTCTGGCACTCCAAGAGCTTCTTCCTCGCAACAGCCGGACCCCAAGGCCCGGAGGACGACTGTTGCAAGCTCTCCTGGGTCTTCCAGGAAAACAGTGGCGGCTGAGAAGCAGCCGGCCACTTCTTCTAAAACCCCGTCGGGGCCGCCTAGAAGTATGGACAATCACTTGTAAAAACTCACACTTGCTTCCTTCTTGACTAGGTCTAACTTGCTTTTTTTTACGCTTGATGCAGCCGGCCCTCAGGGGCTTGACTTGGTTGAGGTAGCCAAGTCCATGATCAAAGCAGTTCCTCCATCTGAAAGGGAGGCGGTCAGGGGTGCCGACACCCTTGACCTTGATGGGATTGCAGGGGTCCTTGCTGAGGTATACTTAGCATATTTTTGAGTATTTGAGTTCCAGGACGCCTGTTATCTTTTTTGTTTGGAAACTGACGCCTGTTTTTTTTGTACTTAGGCCCTGCTCCGAGTTAACAGCCTTCGCAAGCCGATTGATCGGAAAAACAAAGAGGTAAAGGCCGCAAAAGCTATGGCCGCCTCCAACTGTGATAAGGCAATGTTTCAAATTGCCCAAAATGAAGTACTGACCATTGATATTCTTTATTATCAGGCGCAGGCTACCGCCGCTGTTCGGGCTCAGTTAGAGGCGGCCCAGAAGAAGAATGACGAGCTGGAGGCGACCGTCACCAATCTTAAGGCCGAGCTGAAACCTCTTCGCCAAAAAATGCACTCTTACGAAGCCATGGAGAAATCTTTGGCCAACGTAAAAGAACGCCTGGTGAGCCAAGAGAAGAGTCTTACCCAAGAGCTCTCGGAAAAGGCCGAGCAAGAGAAGAAAGAGCTCGTCCGGGAGATGGTGGAAGACTCCGCTCAAATCCAGCGCATGACCTGGGGCCGCCTGTTCCCCAATGCCGACTTTGCCTCATGGGAAAGAACGTACCGCCAGTGTTCGGAAACATATAATCAAGAGATCCTGGCGGCTGCTGAAGAAGAGGCGTTGGGAGATGCGTTGGAGGAGGAGGAAGAGCCGGTTGTGGCGCTTGTGCCACTTGGGGGTAAGGCATCAAAAGAGGGTGCAGCTGAAGCCGAGTCCAGCAAGAAGAGTGCTGACCAGGCGGCAGCTGCTAATACTGAACTGCCCCCTTCTTAAGCTTAATGTATTTTTTCCACGGCCTGCGTGCCGTTTGCTTTGTATTTACCCGGCCAGGGGGCCGGGGTTTTGAATATTTTGCTGGTCTTTAATGACCGGCTTATTTTTAATCAAATTTTTGTTTTGATTCAAATTTGTCTAAGTATTCCATATCTAATATCCCATTGTTCACTAGACCGACTGTTGTGTATGGCCGAACGTTGCAGACAGGTACAAATAGTAAGTACGCCGCCTATGCCCCTGGACGACTGGTTGTCTGTTTCCAGGATAGACGATCAGTCGGCCATTTATTCAATCGGTATTCGAACTATTTATTCAATCGGTCTGACCAAGTAAATAGTATTACCTAGTCGCCAAGGAATTAAGTAGGATAACAAGCGGCGGGTACCGGTTGTTTCCCTTTATTGCCAATGTTGGCTTTTAACTCGT